GCCAACCCATCACAGGGCAACCACACACACCTATGCGCAATTTGGAAACTCCCATCAACCTCAGCATGTCTTTGGACTGGGGGGGGGGAAACCGGAGGAAACCCACGATGACACGGGGAGAACATGCAAACTCCACACACACAGAGCCATGGCGGGGACTCGAACGCTGGTCCCAGAGGTGTGAGGGGGCAGTGCCCCCCACCACGCCACCCTAGCTGGGACACTGTGTCTTTATCATTCAGAAATGTGAACAATAATTTTTGACCAGTAACTCTATATTTGATTTGTTTCGTCCTCTAAACAGGTTCTGTATCTGTGCCATATTGATTTGCACAGCTTTATTTTCTTTTTCATCGCATCGTATCACATTGATTCGCACTCGCATGTTGAATCAAATCATGTGAAATCGCACTGCATTGCAATCATATCGTGTCGCATCAGTAGCTGCTTCATATGTATCTTTGAAGTATTGGATCATTCTCAGTGAGGGAGATGCACATCCCTAAGTGGGAAACGTACAGACACATTCCAGGTGATGTGATTGGCCAGCTGGGCCCCGGTGACCCCGCCCCTTCCTGTCTTTTGCAGTACCCCTTCATCTTTGGCCTCAGCTTGGTCGCTTGCTGGAGCCTCCTGGTCTGCGTGAGCCGGATCTACATGGGGATGCACTCTGTCCTGGTAAGTCTGTCTCTGCTAAGGAGGTCCAAACACTTCCAGTTTAGACTGTTGGGGTTTTGGGTCAACGAGACGCTTACAGGCCCGTGGCTGAACTCCAATGTCTCTCCTTCAAATGCAACGTACAGTACAATTGAAATGAATCGTATCCCTCCCAGTTCCAAAAGCTTGGAAATTATGCGTGGAACTGTGGAGAAAGTGAGGCCAGGAAATGGTTTATCACTTTCCAGTCAAGAAAGTGACGCGATGTTCTTTGGTTGATCTGGTTACTGGAGTGGTTAAGGAAGTGACTAATGAGATGAGAGCCTGACCAGTGGCCAGTGAACGTGTGCTCTGACTTCCTAAGACAGGGAATGTTCTCCTACAGGAAAACACGACACAGGAGACCACAGTGCACAATGGGGGGGGGGGGGGGCAGTGTCACGCTCATCTGACTCAGATGTGGCTCTGTGGAAGAGCGCTGAGGCAGTGCAGCATGCAGCGTCCGTCGTATGTTGGCAGTCGACACGTTCCTCGGTATTCTCAGGCGTAAATGAGGTGTAATGTGCTGTTACTCAGACGAGCACTATAAGTACTCAGGATTTGCTCTGGAAATGCATGATATTAGCCCAGCTTTGCTAACATCAGTAATATCTCCGGCCACGGGAAAAAAAATCTCACACTGGTGCATTCGGACTAGTGTGGTTCTGAGGTATCGCCCGACACGTGGCTGCACTCAGGTTCTCATCCCTGAGGTGGTTTATTATGTGGTTCCACTCTGCATGTTCCATACTCACCTACTGGTGCGTCCCTGCAGGTGCAGCAAAGCTGACATCGCATCAAGCCTGTCAGCCATTTGTGGGATACAGATTTTAAATATTTGGGTTCCTAAGCATGCCGCTGCCCACAGCTGCCAGAAGGGAGGCGCCGTAGAGCAGATCACACAGGCGATGCCTGCAGAGAGGCAGCCCTGGTGGCAGTACGTGGCCCCTGCTGAAGGCCTTCCTAATGCTCTCGTCCCTGGGTGACATGTAGCCTCAAGCCTCCAGCCAAATGTCCTGCTCATTCCAGCAAGCCTGAGCCACTAATGGCATTTACAGTCTCCCCAGGCAGAAGATATAGCTGAGATTTCTTATCAGTTTTTGATTGTTATGGAGCAGCAGGCTGTCAATCCCCATGAATCCCGCGATGCTGATCATAGCTATTTAGCCGGATAGCGGACGCGAGGAAAAGGATTAAATGTCAGCTCTCCAGCTCCCACCTCTGCAGTCGTGGAGCACAAAAATGATTTAATTGTTCTTTGAGAGCTGTGGGGGGGGGGAGAGAATAGGAATTGTGGAGCTGGAATATCACCGGGATGGAGGAGACTTTGAGGAATACGCCGTCGTCGCCGCAGCATAATCACTCATCCCACTCGCGTACGGCTCCTGCTCCTTTCCACTTGGCCGGAATCGCCCTCAGCCCTCAGAGAAACCCTCCCCCTCGTTACGAATTCATCACGCTAAACTCGGCTGCATCCTCAGCCGCTCGGACTTTCATCCGCCATCCGCGTGCCCATTCCTGCGCCGGCGAGCAGGTTGGGGTCGGGTGGCGGTTTCGGCTTGACGGTCCAGGGAGAGGGGGACCACGTGAGCCACCTTTGAATGGATAAGGCACAAAAATAAACATGGGGAGAAGCCTGGCATGACCCCGGATACCGGGAACATCCTGATTCCTTTGCTTTACCCATCAGGCTGCAGTTATGCTGATATTTCTGATCATGGTCTATAGGAAAATTTCGTGCGACATTTTGAGAGGAAGAAGAGGAACAAGCGAGCAATTGCAGGAAGACACTTAAAACTGTAGTACAGTTTAGTTCACATGAGTTGTTTGGGAGTTTTTAAACAGGAGGTTATTATAACATTGTTATAAGTGTCAAATTCTTATTATAGAATATATTTAGAATGCATAGATATTCAGGAAGCAGAAATGAAAGTTGATGTGGTCTAAGGGAAATGGCGTCATCTGCTAGTGATTCATTTTACTGCACACTTGTTCATTGCACACTTCAGTGTTGATTCTGAAGACTGATCACTTTCCACCCTGGTGTGAGTCGGATATCCCTGCAGATTTAATGTCATCTCCGTCCCCTAGATTTGAGGTGATTTCTAGAGGCAGAGACACAACTATGTTTGAATGATGATTACAAATTAAGGTCAGTCCAAGGCCACCTGTCTAGTCAGCCCTACCCTTGCTTTGCTGTCGCTGGTTCTTACAGCTTCTGCCTACAGTCAGGCCTAACCTGAGTTTGGAGGGAGCAAAAACGTGGACCGTCTATGGGTCCCCAAGGACCGGATTGTGAAATACTGCCTTAAGCTAAATGGTGATCAGTCATTATAAATGGGTGAATTATGTATCTTTTTTGGATAAAAATTCAAGTTAAATAGCACTGTTGTGTGTATGACATACAATTAGAAAATGAGTGAATGAATGAATGAATGAATAAATGTTCTGTTAAGTCATTATTTCTGTCAACAGAATATAGAATGTGCTCCCCAGTGAGCGGCTGTGATTGTTTCCTTTTTTAAGCAGAAAGAAGCTTATTGTGGTCGTCCATAATGAGCTGTTGTGCTTACGGCCGCGTGGGTGTGAGGACCTGCTCCGGTGTCTATTTCTGTGAAAGCCCGGCTAGCCGTGAAGGCGAGGTGTGAAGCTGCTCTCGCCGACAGCGATGGGCTGCCTCGTTACTCTCTGGCTGACGCTCTGGTCTCTGCGGTCGCCGTGCCTTTTTCTCCTCCGGACTGAGCTGAATTCAAGGGCCGCTTCCCTGATGATGTGTGTGTTTGTGTGTTAGTGAGTTTGTGAGCTTAGTGTGCAGGTGTCGGTCTTACACTCTCCGTGGGCCCAAACGCTGGCTTTACACTTCCTCAGCAAAATCACAGGCAGGATTCATCTGACATGTTGTGTAATGACACCATTCTTCATTGCAACAATACCCTAACAAGGGAGATATTTCATTCTCTGTACTACAGTTCCTTACCTGTTTACCTGACTGTACCTGGTAACCTGGATCTAGCTGTGCTTGGTTTGTTGCCTTCACACACATGGATGGCCTATCACAATCAGGGACTCAGTCAGAAACAGCTTTCACACACATGGATGGCCTATCACAATCAGGGACTCAGTCAGAAACAGCTTTCACACACATGGATAGCCTATCACAATCAGGGACTCAGTCAGAAACAGCGTTCACAAGCATAATTCAAAAGAGAACAAACTGTCCCATTCATCCACAAAGCGGGGTTTTCTGTGACCTTAAGACAGCTCACTGCAGGAAATGCGTACCCTGCAGGAGCAGGGAGTGCTGACTGGACGGGCGGCTCCAGCACGAGGTGCACAAAAGGCAGACTGGGAAGGCAGAGGACTGGGAAACCAGGGACAGGAAGCAGGACCCAGGAAACAGGAACTGAGGCTAAAACACAAAACCAAGATAGTCACAGCAAAAACACACTGGCTAAACAAGACCAGGAACCCAGGAAAAAAACACCAGCTAACAAGGACCAGGAACCCAAAGAGCCACGATGACTGTTTAAATGACATTCAGAACTAATTATCAATAGTGCAGGATCACACAGACCAGGCTCAATTACCCGGCTGCCAATGCAGGTCAGGTGTGACAGATAATTATTACAACGGATATTTAAGGATTATTAAGTCTGATTAGTAAATTATTAATTAAGCCATGGAAGGCTGTGTCACAGGGAAGAAGGAACTGGCAAGATACTGCAAAATTAGACACCGCAGAGCTTAGATCAGATAAAATGATTTAAAAAAAAAAACTTTGTGCTTACATTTTATTTTGCATTTATGAAGTAAAAAGTGTGGTATTTGGGACACTGATGACGCATGATGTTTTAAGAATGCAATATATTTATGGTTATATCTGAACTTCGTGACATTCGGTCATCCTGTCATCAGTTATTTCTGTCAGGCAAAATGAGAGCTGACCCCTAAGTTTTCCTGCTGAAGTATTAAAGTATAAAAATAATTTGTAGAGGAGGGCTAAGCGAGAAGCCCGCACATCCTGCATGCGCACGCGTGTCCGTCTGCGGCTGCTGTGCATGTCCGTCTGCGTCTGCTGTGCATCCTCACTGCGGATGTTGTCTTGCAGGAGGTCATCACTGGCTTCCTGTACAGCCTTCTGATCCTGGCTGTGTTCCAGCCGCTGCTGAACGCCATCGACCACTTCTACCTGACGCACCGCTACGCCCCCCTCGTCATCGTCACCTCGCATGTGGGGCTGGGCCTGCTGGCCTTCAGCCTGGACACCTGGAGCACGTCCCGCAGTGACACCGCTCAAGCCTTGGGCTCGGGGCTGGGTGCAGCGCTGGCTTCCCGCCTCAATCACCTGCTGGGCCTGATGCCCGACCCAGCCCTGTCGCAGCTGCCTCTGTCTGCCCCACCCCTCAACGTCGCCCTGCTGGCCAAGTCATTCCTGCGCCTGGTTCTGGGTGTACTGGTGCTGCTGGCTATGAAGGCGGTAATGAAGGCCGTCGCCATCCCCCTGGCCTGCCGCATCTTCGGGATCCCCGGCGACGATGTGCGCACGGCCCGGCAGCACGCTCCGGTGGAGCTGACTTACCGCTACATGGTGTGCGGCACGTTGGGCTTCAGCTGCGTCTTCCTGGTGCCTGCCTTCTTCAGCTGCCTCAACTTGTCCTGATGTTATGCCGCTGGCTCCGCCCATCCCCTACAAGATGGGGCTATTGCACACAAAGTCAAACAAGTCACACCTGACTTCCTTTTAATTGTGAATTCTTCTGAAGTTCTGCTGTTTCTTGTTGGTTTGCTTTAATGACAAATATGGTTGCGTTCAACCACAATTGAGTTTCTATGGGTTCTGGTGATTCCTCCCTGTACTGCTGGCATGGCTGCCTTGGTCTGTCTGCACCATGAAATGGGGGAGGGGGAAGCAGGGCTTTGTTGCTCGAGATGCGCTGCCCTTTCAGTGATTGACCCGCGCAGCTTAGTTGTTCCACCAGTTGATATTTGACCCTAATCAGGTCAAACCTGTTGTGAATTATCCTACTATGCCAAACAGGACCTACCATGGACACCCATGGCTGTTTTCTGATGATGCATGAATGACCCCCCCGCCCCCGCCCCCCCGGTACGATAGGATAAACTGTGATCAATCCCAGGGGGAAATTACTGAATTGCTTAGCTGACCATGCGATTTGAACAGGCCACCTTTCGGTCACAGGCCCTGGGCCCCAGCGCACTGACACACACCTGGGGTGTCTCTCATACTTCACTTACGCTACTACATGTTGAGATGAAGAGTATAGTGTTACTGTGAACTGTGCTCTGTGCAGCTCCTGTACTCCACTCTGATCACTCTGTGATCCTTATTCTGCACCTAGACCCTCCTCCCTCTTCAGCTCAGCTCATTTTCCTCGGTTTGATATGAAGGTTGGCTAGGTGACATTACCAGGATTAGTCTTCTGTAGTTGTGTGAGCTTAGAAGTTTGGGAGGTCGGTCTGCGACCACAAACATATTGACCTAAGGAATATTTTTGCACCAGTCTTCACTATGAAAGCAGAGTCATTGGTGCTTAGAATGAATGAAGGAACATTTAACATTTAAGCCCCACCTGGATGATGTGATGGCAGCCATTCTGCACCAGTACGCTCACCACAGAGTAGCTAAGGTGGAGAAGGTGCAGGAGAGAATTCACCAGTGAGATACAGGGGATGATTAGGAGGCCAGATTTAAAAGGGCCACAGTGGGCAGTTTAGCCAGGACATCGGGGTACCACCCTTACACTTTCAGAAGATGCCCAGGGACCTTTTATGACCTCAGAGTCAGGACCTTAGTTTTATGTCTCATCCAAAGGACAGCACCATTTTTCAGCACAGTGTCCCCATCACTGCACTGGGGCATTAGGATCCACAGTGACCACAGGATGGGCTAACCTGCTGGCCACAGTGTCCCCATCACTGCACTGGGGTATTGGGACCCACAGAGACCACAGGATGGGCTAACCTGCTGGCCACACCAACACCCCTTCCACTAGCAACCCACTTTCCTAATTGGTCTTCCATCAAAGTGCTGGCCAGGCCCAAACCTGCATAGCTTCAGGTGGATGACCAGGTCTGAACTGCAGGTGGTGTGGCTGCTAAAGATCATTAGGGAGGTCATTAGGGGAAGGTGGAGGAGGTGCCTGGCAGTTTCTTGCAAAGGGTTTCCAAAGAAAGGTTAGTATTGAACATAGACTAAGTACTGTGTGACTTCAGGATGACCCTGCATCACCTTGGTATGTTCAGTGCTCAGCCTGAGAAGATGAAAAGTCTGAAGCTCACGTGGGGGTTCATGTGGTCACCTTGGACCAGACCCAGACTTTTTTACGTCTTATAAAAGTCCAGGCACAAAAGTCTTATTGTTAGTAGACAGTCTCGTCAACATTCATTTATTGACTTTTGCTTCATAAATATAATTTTTTCTTCTGTGTTCCTATTTTGAACAGTCCCCCCACCCAACCCGAAAAGACTATTCAAAACCGTAATGTGTACGTAGTGTGTTATTTTAAACATCTGTGGCTGAAAATGACGTCAAACCGTAGACTTTGCCTCAAATTGTGTTTTAACCTGTTACTATTCTTCATGAAAGGAAAACTGAAGTAGCCTAACTGCATGCTAAGACCTTCATTAGTTCCAAAAGCCTCAAAGTGTTGGTTCACATCCAATGTTTTAGTGCTAAAAGGAAAACAATCTGTTTGTAATCGTGTGTTTGACTTGTTGATGTATCTGGTGACCACTTTAAGCCTTCCGCCCTTTGTGGACAACTCAGTATATGTTCAATCAGTGTTTATCCCTTGAACAGAGACATCTCCTCAGACTGTCTTGACGGAGAGATGGAGGTCAATACCGATGTGACGTGGAAGAAGAGCCGAAATTCTTACTGTGTTCGTTTCGATTGTACCTCATTATTCTACATACCTTTGTGCCTTTCTTGGTCCTGGCCATGAAATTCTGCAGTGAACTGCATTATGATGTCAGGTGAAAGAGTGTAAATGCCATTCATTACGCAATCCAGCTAAAACATTTCTGTACATTTATTATATGAAAGAAAATGTTTGCTCGGTAGCCATTGTGCTTCAAACCACATTTGAAAATGTTTGTCTTTATTTCACAATAATGTTTGTATTCGTTACAGGATTATTTACCAATATGAATAAAAATTTTGCACATTATGATGTCTCAAAGGGCAAAAGGAAGAAAAAGTCATTCTAATTTGAACCAATCTATTTTATATCTTTTGATGACCTCATGTCTAAAAGCCTGACCACAAACCCAGGGTCTCTGACTTGCCCGTGCTGGCTGGCTGTCTCTCAAAGCTCCACCTTGGCATCTATAGGAAACACTGCTCAAAGTTCTACGCCATACAATTAATCAGAGCTGGATAGTTCAGGTCCAGAAAGTACAAATCCAGACCAAGGTTTTGTTTCAACCAACCAGTTGATTTCTCTGTGACTGTGACTTTTTATGCTCAGCTGGTTGGTTTGAAATAAAACATTAAAACAACTGAATTTTTACTGTCTGGACCTGAACGATCCACTTATGTGATTTATTTCATCCTGACTTTGTCTTTTGAGCTTTTGTGCGCAAAACCCTACTCCAAATTTTAAGATGAGCGTTCCCAGTGAGCACGGAGCAATAAATTATTGAGTAGTGAGTTACTCAAGAGTGCCCTCCGCAGGAACTGCAGTGGTGCAGTGCCTCAGTTTCCCATTCATCGGGCCCCTGAGTAACTACAATACTGCCCTGTGAGGACCCTGTGTTGAGAGCTGGTCTTCTTTACTGGCTAGTTGCACTGTCTCAGGAAGCCTGCTGACAGGGCTGTTCATTTCAGTCATCTGTACTCCTACTTGTAAATGGCCAATAAATGGAAACATACACATATGCCGCTACTTACTTCTTGTCATGGGAATCCCCATTAGTCTGCTGTTGGACTGGCCTCCCTTTGACGTTAGGATTGCAGTGAATGCCGTTGGGTTTACAATGTCTGCGTAAGCAGATGACAAAGGCACTCTTAAGTAAAAGCAGAAGTTGAGTGGTTAAGGATATGGAACTATAAGCATAATGTTCCTCAGTCCCGATCCTATTAGGAACTAAACTGTAATTAAAATACAATTACTGTTAAATAACACATGATTTTTAGATAGAAAGAGTAGTCAATATATATTCTGTATGTTTACTGACATATTCAACAAGCACTTTGCCTAAACTAATTAGCTTGTTTTCCACCCCAACATTAGCCAGTGCAGTGTGTGCTTGACGGGTTCTTGAGGAACCATCCATCATTATGAAAATGGGGGGAAAGGTTAGGGGCATAACTTTGGTTTGAATACTGGGGGGGTTGAGGTCTTCATCCATTTAGGGGGAGACATAATTATTGGGAGGGTTATAAACCCCCCTGCAATTTACACCCATGGGGAAGCCCCCCTCCCCAAAACAGGGGAAATTGACAGATCACATTGTTTCCCTTCCAAAAGCCCTGATGATTTCACTTTAGTCCTACAGTTGAGGACTGTTTTGTTTCTTGTGGTTGGGAGAGCGTTTTAACATCCAAATACTGCTGTCTGTCAGGCATTTGATAGTATGTTCTCTTCTGAAAGATGTAGTTGACAGAGCAGAGAATTGCCTGAGGCATACCGGCAACTTTATTTTTAGTAGGTTTATTTTAGATGTCTAAATCAATATTTTTACACTCTACTGCGGTATAATAGGAACAGAACACAAGATACAAAAAACAAGTCGATAAATTTTTTTGGTGAGTACATTTCTTTGTACTGTTCAGTTTTCTACAGCTCATCCTTTATTGCGCTTTTCTGCCATCTGCTGGCAAATGTCGTTCATTTACTCAAATTCGCATTTACACAGTCAATTCAATGTAATCATTCAATGCTTCTAACCATATTGTTTTACAGCTGTTTGTGTCCAAGCTATTAATTAGTAATTCGGGTTTTGTTTGAATTTGTTGATGTCTAGCACATTCAGTTTGGCTCTGTCGTACATCTTCCAACCATGTATGGTAAATACATCCCATAAAGAATTTCATATTGTTTAGAGTCAGCTTGACATTTGACCAGTGTTGTGCAAGTTACTGAAAATTAGCAATTGGTTACAGTTACTAGTTACTTCGTTCAAGAGTAATGCAATTGCCGCATATAAAAGTAGTTACCAGGGAAGGTAACTAAGCATTATTTCAACTGGGAAATGAAGACACCCAGTAGTGATCCAGCAAGGCCTCTGCAAGTCAAAAATCACTGACTTATGTTTTATTTTATTTTTATTTTTTATGAATATATTTTTCCAAGAATATGTATTAAATAATTCCCAATAGTCTATTCTCTTCATTTCATAGCTCTTCTCTTGGTCGCGCTGCTTCCAGTACTGCATGTTGACGTTAGAGCATCTTTCCAATCCCGCTTCAGCCATCACGTGTCGCCAGGGTAAAGGACACCTTTACCTTCACCTTTACAGTGCGGGCGCCTGTGGCAGTGAAACTGTTAATTTCACCAATCAGATTTCGAGTTGGGGACACCGGGCGTACGATAGCATCAGCATTCTCATGCCCTGTGATTGGATGGTCAGAGAGAGCCGGTCAGAGCTAGCAAACCGCATACGTAGCAACTTGCTCAAGATAAAATGTATTTGTGTAGCTTTAACAGCTGTTTTTCTGACCCACAATTCAGTAAATAGCGATGCTGTGCGTTTTATTGCCTCTCATATTTATGTAATAAATATACAAATGTCAATTAGATGGTAATGTGCCTGAGACAGAAAGAAGAAAAAATATAATGGTCATCCGCTTATAGTGATCGATTTCACCCAGACAGATGTGATCACTATAAGCGGTTTCCACTGTATTAAGAGGCAGATTAATTCAGGTAGGACACTACTGAAAGTCTAGGTGTGAACAGCAAGGCTGCCACTGAATACAGCACAGTGCACACCACTCTGCACCATATGTGCACCCATATGTGACATAGCAGGGGGCAGCTAATTCACTGCCTGGGGAGCAGTGCTTGGGGGCAGTGCCCTCTTGGTGGAGGATTCAAACTTGCAACCTTTCAATCAGAAATGCACTTCCCTAACCATTAGGCAACCACTGCACAGCCTAGCATCTTAATAATGCATACATTGTCAGGGTCAGCTCCTGTGGTTCCACTCTGTGTACCTTCCCCATTTGGCCAGCAGGCGTCGCTGGTCATCCTGTCCCTCGTGTTGTCAGCCTTTGTGTTTTCCCATGAAACCCCTCTGTCTTGTGGTTGAATCCCACCTCCTCTGTTTTTGTATTTTATTCCTAGGGTTTCTTCTGTATCAGTTTAGTCCTGTGATTTTGTATTGGTTTAGTTTTGGTTTCTTGCTTTGAGCCTTAGTTGTGTTTTATCACTTTTTGTTATTCCCAGTGTTAGATTCTGTTTTCCCCATTTCTTGGTTAGTTCTTAGTTTCCCTGTTTAGTTCCTTGAGTTAATTATTAGTTTCACCCGTGGCCTGTTTTCCTATCCCTTGTTGATTGAGCTCACCTGCCCTTTGTCAATCTGGTTACTCCTCTGTATTTAAGTCCCTGCCTCTGTTCACTTCCCTAGTGGTTCATTGTTAGTGAAGTTTGTATGTTGGATATTGCTTACCTGCCCCATTTTTGTAATCAGTCTTTGTTTATCCCCATTTACTTCTGACTCCTCGTGGTCCTTTGTTTTGTAAGTGTTTCTTGTGGTTTTTTTTTTCCTGTTCTAATAAACCCAGTTTTGTCTGGTGAGCCACAAGTGGGTCGTCCACCTTCCTCTCTGCCTGCATCATGCCTCGGCCTAATGCCAAATCCGTCCGGAACCATGACATACATACCCACAGCACACATACATCAGCGGGACAATGATTTAAGATGGGATTGTCATTAAATTATCATGTTCCATTTAGCTAATGTACGTTCCAGAGAGCACATTTTTTTCAGTACCATATTGGCCCGACCATAAGACGACCCCAATTGTAAGATGACGTCTCCCCCCACACTTTTTGGCAACTATTTCTAGAAAAAAGTTATTGGAATACCAGATCTTATGTTTATAAAGAAAACTCATTTTATTTGGCAAGAACATATAATAAATTAACTAGCAACCACATCTTAAAAAGCAACCACAGGCAATCGGATTACAACAAGTGTATTAAACAGCAAACGTCCCAAAAAACAAATGTATTATTTGGGGGGGGTCAGATAATGAACATTAAAACTTGAGGGCGCAGAATGCTGCCGATGCAACAGACCCACATGAAGATGGTAACAAACGTGTTGTAAGATTATTTGTCTTAAAATGACTTAAGATGATACGGTCTGAAGGTCAACAGCTCAAAGGTCAACCTGTGATTTATTTTCTCACAACAAAACACAAAAAGAATAAGTGAAAAATAATACTTTCTAACAACTAAACCTCTAACAAACACACAAAACAACAAAAAACCCCAGAATGCATAACTGTGCAGTCCTGCACATATAAGGTCACAGAAAAGAAAAGGGAAAGAAAAACAAGCAAAAAAACCCGACTTCCTCATCATATGGGTGTAGCTCTGCCCGGGGGCTATGCTATCGCCTGTTTCTAGAAATAAAAGATTTCTATGCTATCGCCTGTTTCTAGAAATAAAAGATTTCTATGCTATCGCCTTTTTCTAGAAATAAAAGATTTCTATGCTATCGCCTGTTTCTAGAAATAAAAGATTTCTATGCTATCGCCTGTTTCTAGAAATAAAAGATTTCTATGCTGTCGCCTTTTTCTAGAAATAGAAGATTTCTATGCAGTCACCTGTTTCTAGAAATAAAAGATTTCTATGCTGTCACCTGTTTCTAGAAATAAAAGATTTCTATGCTGTCGCCTGTTTCTAGAAATAGAAGATTTCTTAAGAAAATTATCTTGTAAATAATTAAAAGAAAAACAACACTGTATTATGATTATCAATAACTTTAGAAGAATACTGGTTGACATGATATAGGTGCATAAAGCTGGTACTATCTTATTACCTTAAAGATGGTGGTGGCCCCCATCCCCACCCCCTCCCAACCAGGATGACAACCCCCATACCTCCTGCTTGGAGAAGACTGCACTTCCTGGTTGGTACACAACCAGTACTCACTTAAAAACACACATTAGCAAGCTCTCTTGCTTTAAATTACTACAGAAATGAATCCCCTTGGCCTGGCCTGTAACATCTCAGCCCTCGAGGAAAACCACTAACATCCAGTTGCTCCAGGGACCATCAGACCCTGCTTTAAATTGTAAACTGCTTTGGATTAAAGCACCTGCCAAATAAACTGAAACAGTACAATGGCCAATGCATTTTACATGTGAAGTATCTCACCTATATAGAGATACAGTTTAAAAGGCTTCTGCAGAGTTCTGAAGGGTCCACTGTCCTCAGACTGGCAGTATTATATTGGTGGACTTCGAAAAGGTGTTTGCTGAGGCGATGACTTTACACAGGATCGAAACGTTACAACAGATTTATGTTGTCACAAGGGTTTTGCAAAAACGTTGTGTAACTTGTGTAAGTCGTGTTAACACAGGCGCCACTGTGGGAAAGGCGACGTGCTCATTCAGGTCCCTTTAGAATTTCAAACTATCATTATGGCCCATTATTTTTAAAGCGCAAACAGTCCTATATAGTTAGGTTTTTTTGCGATCTCCCTCCATACTGAAGGCACGGTTATTGGTGAGGGGGCATTCAGACATAGCCGAGTACCCTGACTGGGATTGCACATGCATGTTATGGAAGTTCCCCAGTTCACATATTATGTCCCAATTTACGCATTTTAACAAAGATAATTAATTGTTAAATAAAGATTTCTCTGCTATTATAGTAAATTGACATTTTCACGTCTATAGAAAAAAAAACTGTATAACGCTTGAACAGACGGGCACGCGGAGTGTGTGCTGTACTCAGTAGCCTACATACCCTTATTAAATAATCTTCTATATCACATCGACAGGCAGACTGCCTAAATGTTTACCAATATTGTATTATTATGTTTTACTGGGTTAAAAAGCAACATTCTGCACTCAGATCAGAACTTGTTTAGTAAGTTGTATTGTTGCTGTGAATTTGCTGTAATATTGTGAATTGTCACTGCATGCATTTTCATGAAACCGAAATACATGTGTGATATGCAAGACCAACCGTCTTATAGTACATCCACTCAATATACAATACATAAAAGATAACTGAAAACGAGATATTCTTTATCTAGTCATCATTAGATAAACAAGTAATTTTCATAATTACTGCAAGGATTTCTCAAGGCATTAGGCCGTCAAGCACATATAATTACTAAGATACTCATATAATTTATTAATTAATATAACTAACAGAACTCGACACACCTTCCTATTGAATACAGCTAGATTACCTAATCACTGCGTGCAGCGGGGAGCGCCGCTGTGTCTTTAAGAGCCGCGCGGATGTTTCGCCATCGCTGTCCCGTTCTGGGTGGAGTGTTTCCGTGTTCTAATTACAGCTGTAACTAATGGTATCTGTTAAGTCTTAAGTCACTCGTTGTGTGCTAGTTGTGTTTCTCCGTCGCTCTAAATTCTCTGAGCTGCATAATGGCTGCGAACGACTGGAAGCAGAAATACGGAAGTGAGCTGAAGCTGGAGGAGAACAAGTTGCCGATGCCGGACACGGTGGACTGGAAATCCGTCTATGAAAAGAAACCCCTGGGACGCAACTTACTGAAGAACCCGTCCCCTTTCGGTACTGCGATCGCACCTCAGTCACGTTCAGCTGGCTGCATGGAGTGAGATTTTCACTTCGAGACGAGTCTGCACACGCATTTACATGCATGTTGCAGTTTATTATGTTGTAAATAGTCTGTATAGGGTTTGCAAACTGCCCCAAAGCTTCTGATGTAGCTCATTTTAGGTTTGTAATGGAATAATATAGATTTTCCGTAAGATTTCTTGCTTGAGAGTTGCCAGTCCTGCTCACCGTCATTTCTGTGTTTAACTCGCTCCTGCAAACATTATAGAAAATATAACCGTTACTGATGCGATTTTCTAATTCGTGTTATAACGGATGACGCCTTCACGTCTATTGTACCTTCGCTTTATTACTTGCGGCCGAAATGGGGAAAGGTGTCATGTTCGGTTGATACAGCCGTTGTATGAAAGTGTTAGCGGCACCTTGTGTTTAACATTTTAAAAACGGCAGCTTTTGGTCAGAACTGTAACGCATAACTTGGTCCGCAGGTTTGGATCACGAGACGCCGCCTCCTGAGAGAGAGCTGGCAGGAATGTTTGGAGCTGAACCACCCCGATTTGAACCAGAAGGTGGGGAAAGACACCATGGCTGGTATATGGTAACGGGGCTATGCATGCCAGAGCAGAGGTTACCCTAAATGATTCTCCCCTTGCTGGTCAGGTGACTTCAGTAATTGGACGAAGTCTAATGAAACGCTCCCTTACGACACCAGTGGGATTCCTGCTGGCGCTGTCATATGTCACTTACCGCAGTTCAGGTGAGGCAGCTAATAAATCCATGTTTGTCGATTTCCAATTAGTTATCAATTGTGATCAAGAATCTATTTCTATATTATGTGTGGTGTGTGGCAGGACAGTGTTTTAGTGCCTAGTCCATCACACAACCCCATTGTACTGATGCTAGGGACAATGCGGATTATGTGGCCAGTGGGCATGCGGGCCGAGTGCCGCTGTCTGGGTTAGGGTGGGGGGCCGAGTGCCGCTGTCTGGGTTAGGATGGGGGGGCCGAGTGCCGCTGTCTGGGTTAGGATGGGGGGGCCGAGTGCCGCTGTCTGGGTTAGGATNTGGGGGGGCCGAGTGCCGCTGTCTGGGTTAGGATGGGGGGGCCGAGTGCCGCTGTCTGGGTTAGGATTGGGGGGGCCGAGTGCCGCTGTCTGGGTTAGGATTGTCACCAGGTCAAATCCTGCAGCCCCAAAACTTGCTCACGCCTGAACCCCTCTTTGTGTTTCATGGGGAGCAAGATGGGACATGCAAAAACTAACCAGTTTCCAAGTGGGATGAATAACATGTCATTGTTCTATGCTATTAAGAAACTCACCTGTGGATCATGTCCACACTGGGAAGGACATTAACTGGAGAGTTAAGTCAAGCTGCAGGTTTTCACTTGTTTCAATTTCAGCTAAAACAGTGATCAGTGAAATCCAGTGAAAGGTCTGTCTCATAGCTGACTTGCATGCTTGTGGCTGTCAAACGGATATTCCCGTCATGCATCTGCTGCTCTGTTTCCTTGTGAAGCCGCCTGCAGGCAAATGATTGAAAATCCACTGGAAAGTGCTGCTGGAATTTCCGTGGGCGTCAGACTGCTGCTTTGTGCTGGCAGTGAGTGCTAAACATCACCATTAACTGCACTGCGTGTGATGCAGTCACGTTGCCATGTTGTTGCACTCTGGTCTTGATTAGTCTTTTCTTGGGTTTTTAAACTCTTGTCATGCTTTGAACAGTCAGGCAGCCATAGAAACTTCCAATAGAACGTGTGTTAACAAGGTTGGCTTGGGTCTTGGACGTGGCAGAGTAGCTCTCACCCCTCCAGCGTGTGCCTGGGTTTTCATAGATCACACTTGGGGACCAAAATGTCCCGGAAGGGCGGTAAAACCTGAAACTTCCTTACTTCTGGGGGCCTTTTTCAGGTCCCCAATTGGATAACCTCAGTTTTATAAAAATCTGTGAATGCAATCGAAAAATCAAAATCAAAAAGTCTTGTATTTTGGTTGGTTACTTATGGTTAAGGTAAGGGCTGGGTAGGGGTTAAGGTCGTCATCGTTGTGATTAGGGTTATGCCCATGGTAACGAATGGATGGTCCCCTCAAAGATATGAGTATGTGTGTGCGTCTGCGCGTGCGTCCCCTGCAGTGAGCTGGCGTCCCCTGCAGTTTGCACAGCAGCCGTGTGCCCTGTGCTGCCTTAGGTCCCATAGGGCTGATATAATTGTTCTGATGACCCCCCCGATGTGAACACTGGTCAGATTTATCAGTGGTTCTCTTTGTATTCAGTTATGGGACAGGACAGAATATTACTGTTCTTTTAATATAGTCATATTGAAATGATGATACTTTATATTTGCACCAGTACACAGGAACACTAATTTTCATATTTCCACTCCTTTGAGACACACACACACATTGATACAGTTGAGGCAAAGCTGTACAACTCAATATAATTTAGATTTATTTGTTAAAATATTACCAGAAGCCATTCTTCCAAGCAGACAATAAATGCAGACCTATATTCCTGAAAGCAAACCATCAAATCTGCTTGGTGGTAAGTGGTCTTTACTTGTAGTTTTTAATATATTTTGTAGTTTGTAGTTTTAATATATTTTAATCATTAGATATTGTAGCTTGTAGTAATATTTTCATCATCAGCATAGGTTGGCATAACATGATTTTGTGACTTGATATAAGCGTATAATAACACAAAGTGTAATGAGTGTAAATGTGGCCGGATTTGATGAGCCGGTTCTTGCCGTCTGCGCCGCTCTTCCTCTACAGCTGGTTCACCCTGGAGCAGAAAGTGGACCTGAAAGCGGAGGGATTTTGGGATGAACTTCTGGACGACTTTCAGCCGGATATAGCCATCGAGGACTGGTAATCTCTCTGCGTCACATCGCCGGTGCTGCGTTCCGTGCAAAGCTGCTGCGTTTCTCCCCTGACGGTGGATCCCGCCCTGCGCAGGTACGAGCAGAGCCAGATCCGCGAGCCTGTCTATGTGCTGAAGGTGACGCTGCTGGGAGCAGATGGTCAGACGGTGATTAAGGAGCACGTGTTCACGCCAGAAGGCGGTCAAAGTAACGACTCCCACACCTGGAAGCAGGTGATGCCTTTGCGCTTCTGAGAAAGTAGCGGATTCACTAGCTGACTGAGCCATTGCTCTGGGTTTGAGGAAAGAGGAGCTGCTTGTGACCTGTTGTCACGAGGGCTGATGTGTATATGTTAGGTATATATAACACAGTCCATATGTCATATGCAGTATATTTATCAGTCGA